CAAAATATGTAGGGGTCCAATTCAAGTTGGTTACCCTACATTTTGAAAAGCTCAGGCGTCCACCTCTTAGTTCGCCTTTTTTGTCCACCTAAAATATTCATAAGTATTACAAGCAATAAAGAGTTAATGAACAATCAACAAAACATCCTATTACACTAGCAACCCCGCAATCTGATGCTATCATAATTTTCAGCAATGTCAGGAATGCTCACGAACCCCCAACATTTGCCAGAAAACATACTACTTACTCAAGGTATCTTCCAAATAAGCTTCAAATTGCATTTTTTTTTATCAAAAGTTAAATTCAGTCCTCTATCCGTAATACGCGCGCGAGGCTCAAACCTTTGTAGACTACTATTTTTTTTTACTACTACTATTAAATCAAATATCAAAAATCCACCATCACCATCGTGGCGAACAAAATACTTTTGCAGTGCTACAATAATTATTAAAAAGTCGTTATAACAGCTATCCATACAAAATAATCCGTTAAAAATAACTTCGTCAAGATACATAATTTGTCAATTCATAAAAAAAATCACTGGATAACCGTTCAAAAGACAGTTTTAACGTGTGAAATGCAATGTCTTTTAAATTCTGCTAATGTTGTTGAACGTTTGATGTGTCTAGGCATCGAATTGAAAACATTTATTCCTTTAAAAAATAATGAATTCTGTGAAGCACAAGTCAAGAAATGTGGTGTTCTTATTTCATCCGCGTTTCTAGTATTATATCTATGATAGTCACTTCCTCTTTCAATTCGATCACACAAATAGCAGCAAACCGTTAACTACTTTAAAAATGAACACCATAGTCAAATATACAATTCTTTGCTTCACCGACAACCATTGTAAGGCGTCTAGCATCAAAGTTGAGGAAGTGAATCTATTACATCTTGAAATCAAACGCATTATTTTATTCTGCAAGCGCTGTAATCTTGATATTTGTGTTGCATTGGACAGAAATAAAATGGATGGGCAAAAGTCTAGATGAGGAGAGATGATTGATTTGTATAGCTGTATTTTACTGGCAATAGTTAAATCGTTTTTCAATCAACATAGAATTCCATACTTCCATAGTTGTAGCATGTCAAACCGGTGGACGAAATCAAAACAGCGGATATTTCGGAAATACTTACCAAATGTTCCATTTGAAATTTGATGAAGTGCTCTGAGAATAGCATGATGCTATCATCTACCGCCTTAGAGAACACAGATGAAGAAAGGAGGTATGACTGAAATTAACTTTTGACAACCAAGTTTACACTCAAATCGAAAAACACCCCGGGGACCCATTGACCCATTCTTTCACACTGACTCTTTAAGTTGGTAGTTTTTTTTTATCTAGTTCGTTTATTTGGAAGGCTCAATCGCGTTAGCTTTACGGAGCCGATAATTCATTGTTCACTGTGTGTAACAAAATTCACTTAATTCTATGTCTAGTAGGAGTTGGGCCGATTACTCGCGGCTTACTCGAGGTTAGAAGGGTACATTGTCGAAGGAAAGGATCAGGGGAGGAGCTTGGGGTAGGGTTTCGTTGTCTCATCAGAGCGTTGTCGCCAGTATGAACGGTAGTGCTGTTCTAGCTTCGTCCGGAGTTCGACCGGCTATGGTGGGTGACCAGTGGGCGACGATGAGACTCATCGAGACGGGGGGACAAGACAAACAAAAACTAATAAAGAGAGACAAAAGACAAAAGAAATTAAATTCTTATACTAGACATTTGAAGAAAAACATAAACGGACTGCATATAGCAGAGATCACGGGTTGCCAACACGTCTCTGATAGGAACATAGGGTTGTCTTCCTTGGGCCTCGAGGGTATTCAAAAGTCGCTCTCTGGCGGCGTCATTATCCGTACATTGCCAAACTGCGTGTTCGATGTCATCGTAACCGTTTCCACACCGACAGATGTTGCTGTCCACGAGGTTTATTCTATTGAGATGAGCATCTAGCGAGTAGTGGTTGGACATAAGTCTACTCATCACGCGAATGAAGTCACGACTTAAGCCCAAGCCTTTAAACCACGCTCTCGAAGAAACATTAGGAATAATTGAATGTAACCACCGTCCAAGATTTCCAGTGTCCCAATCGGTTTGCCAACTCGAAAAGGTACTCTGACGCACTAAACGGTAAAATTCATCGAGTGAAATTTGCCTGTCATACAATTCGCCTTCCTGCGCGCCCACCTTTGCGAGAGAGTCCGCCTTCTCATTGCCTGGGATTGAGCAATGTGAGGGGACCCATACAAAGGTAATCATATATGATCTTTCGACCAGCACACACATCTGCTCCCTTACCTTTGAAAGGAAATAAGATGAGTGCCTACCTTGTTTCATCGACCGAATAGCCTCAATCGAACTGAGACTATCCGAGAAGATGAAGTAATGGTCTGTGGGCATATTGGAAATCATCCCCAATGCGAAGTTGATTGCTGCCAGCTCAGTAACAAAAACGGAACAAGGTTCCTGAAGTTTGCGGAAGGCGCTAGAGTTTTCATTGAAGACACCGAAGCCAGTGGATCCATTGAGACGGGACCCATCTGTAAAATATCTTTTTATGCAATTGACTTGTTGGTACTTTTCAGTAAAAATACGCGGAATAATAATAGGTCGAAGTTGATCGGGAATCCCATGAGTTGCTTGTTGCATGGTCAGATCATATTCAATTGAGGAACTGCGATTGGTGAAGTGAACACGGTCTGGAGTATAACAAGGAAGACACATATCTGATGATATGTAGTGGTGGTAGATTCTCATAAATCGAGATTGTGTGTTCAGCCCAAGAATTTCTTCAAAATTAGCAATTATAAGTGTGTTCGTCACTCCGCATTTGATTAGTATTCTGAGAGAGAGCTCCCAGAAACGGTTCTGGAGGGGTGTTACTCCTGCCAGAACCTCGAGACTCATGTTATGCGTTGAGTGCATACAGCCTAGAGCAATACGCAGACAACGATATTGAATTCGTTCCAATTTTATTAGGTGACTTTTTCTTGCCGAGAGAAAGCAGAAAGAGCCGTACTCTAGAACAGAGAGAATAGTTGTTTTATAAAGCGTTATGAGGTCTCCCGGATGAGCACCCCACCATGTGCCGCAAATTGAACGGAGAAAGTTGATCCTCTGCTGACATTTTTGCTTCAAATACGTAATATGGGCATTCCAAGTGCACTTTGAATCAAACCAGACCCCAAGGTACTTGAAAGACAATGATTGGGTAATGTTTCTGCCTAAAAGATTAAGCTCCATTTGGGTTGGGTACCGCTTTCGAGTGAACACTACCAGTTCAGTTTTCTGCGGCGAGAATTCGATCCCTAGATTCATAGCCCAAGAAGACAAGTTATCTAAGGAATTTTGCAATGGTCCTTGCAAGTCCACGGCATGTGGACCTCTTACGGAAACCACACCGTAATCTGCAAGTTGTCTTAGCGTGCATTGTTCTGCCAAACAGTTGTCGATATTTTTGACGTAAAAGTTATAAAGAAGAGGGCTGAGACATGAGCCTTGGGGCAGGCCCATGTAGCTAATTCTGGAAGTTGTCAGTTGTCCAAGGGAAAAGTTCATTTGCTTTTCTGACAACAAATTGTACAAGAAATTATTTAAAATTCCAGAAAGTCCACATCTGTGCAGATTGTCTGACAGAATCAAAAGCCCCCTTAATGTCCAAGAATACTGAAGCCAATTGCTCCTTGTGTGCAAAGACCAGTTGAATATCTGTGGAAAGCAGCGCTAGACAATCGTTTGTTCCTTTGCTCTTGCGGAACCCAAACTGTGTATTTGATAGCAAATTATTTGTTTCGACCCACTGATCGAGTCTCCGAAGGATCATTTTCTCCAACAATTTCCTAATGCACGAAAGCATGGCAATCGGACGGTATGAGTTATGGTCAGACGCTGGTTTGCCAGGTTTTCGAATGGCTATTACTTTGACCTGTCTCCATTCAGGCGGTATAATGTTGTTTTCTAGTAAGGAATTGAATAAGTCTAGCAAGCGTTTTTTAGCGATATCTGGGAGATTTTTCAGAAGATTGAATTTAATCATATCGCTTCCCGGTGAGGAGTTGTTCGATGAAAGAAGAGCCATAGAGAACACCAGCATGGATCTCTGGATGGTCTATCCAGAGAGCCGCCGCTAGGAGACGCTTCTCGAAGAATATTTTGTGCTGGAACTGAGTCCGGACAGACCTTTTTAGCGAAATCGAATATCCATCGGTTGGAGTATTCTTCACTCTCATTGAAAGATGAGCGGTTACGCATGTTGCGAGCCACCCTCCACAAGGTGTTCATTGAGGTTTCTCGTGAGAGTCCCTCGACGAAATTGCGCCAATAACCGCGTTTTTTTGCTTTGATTAATTGTTTCAGCTTTGTCTCAAGCTTTGAATATTCCTCGAAGTATGTGGAGGTTTTGTGTCTACGAAAAGCTTTGAAAGCATCAGATTTTTCTACATACAATTTTGTGCATTCTTCGTCCCAACCAGGTGTGGCTGGTCTCCTTTTAAAGGGTGCACTTGGAACTTTTCTTTTTTGTGCTTCCAGTGAGCTTTTGTAAATCAAATCGGCTAGGAATCGATATTCTTCCAATGGTGGAAGCGCATCTATTGATTCGACACCGATTGTCACCGCCGTTGCATATTTCTGCCAGTCGATGTTCCTTGTAAGATCAAATGGAACCCGAGATGGTTCTGCAGAGTGAGGGCCACACTTTATTGAAATGATGATTGGCAAATGGGGATCATTGATAACCTTCCACTGACAATCCAATGATAGCGATCTTGAACACAAAGATAGGTCGAGTCGGCTTTCTCGAGCCGGAGGTTTTGCTATACGTGTCGCTTCACCAGTATTCAAAATAGTCAAATTGAAATCGTCACATAAATCGTAAAAAATAGCCGCTCTATTGTCGTCATATAGATCGCCCCACCCAGTACCATGGGATAAGTTGGTAGTTAATGTAATACTCTTTATGGCATGGTCATCATTCAACACTCACAATAAACATCTAGCAATTGGTTTTTATTATTTTAATAATTTATTAAACAATTAAAAATATGCTTCACTTTATATATAAGTTTCCTTACTTTTCTTGCATTTCGATTTTCCACTGTGTTTTTGTGGTTGTTTTTCTTCTTCTTCTTATCCATTGTTATTGTGTATAAATTTTGCTTCCATGTTGTTATTATATTATGGGCGATTTTTTTTATCTTTTCTTCCTCTTACTAATTTATACATTACGACTTGCCAATCACTACACAATTGCATGATTATCGGTTAATAACTATGCTTGAATACAGTAATTCACTTTTTTGTTTCGTTTATTTATAATAATAATAATAATAATTCAAAATATTCGTATACAGTCTATATATCTGTTAAAACCAGATTTCATTCACACCGTTTTGCTTTATTCTGTTTCTCTAGCGCAAATTTTCTTCTGCTCGCAAAAACAAAATAAATATAGGAGACGGGATAAAACTGGGGATAAATAAGTAGAAGGATTAAGTAGTTAGTAAGGGCATCTATACAAGAACAGAAGAAACAAAAGAAGCTATACAGGTTGATGATGGGAAGCGAACTGATTACGAATGAAAAAAAAAAAATCCTGCGGTTCAAGTGTTTGGAAAGAGTGGGGGAGAAAAAATTTAATTGATTCAAGTTGTCATGAAATAACGAACGATGCAGCCGCAGGTCGGAAGTTGATGAGTGCGGGGTCAAAGGAGAAAGAAATTAACATTCGTGCAAACATCATCATCTCGTTTTCTCGGGTTCTCGTTCACGCTCACGCCTCGCGTACTTTTCCACGCTGTGTTCCTATTTTTTCATCTCTCATCTCGCTTTTTGTGAGTTTGACCGTCTCTGACTCTGTTTTATTATTTGTTATTTTGTTTTTATTCTCTTCAGCTTGTTTTGTTTTTTTTTTCGTAAATAATTATTATGTGCCAGTTTCGCACGGGATCGGTCCGGAAAACTGGAGAAAGAACTGCAGAAGCACAGATCTAGGAAAACTATTGCGATCGTCAGCCATGATGGCCGTTCGTTGGGTTGTTGGGTGAAGAAAATCTAGAAGCAGCATATTTATGTCGGCAATTTATCAATTATGGATTCCGAGGAGGGTCGTTATGGTGATTTGGAAGTTTTGGTTGTTTTCCTCTACCTCGTCTCGATTTTCAGTGGATTTTTTTATTCATTGTTTTACAAGAGCAATTTCGGCCTTCCGGAGCGAGCGTATTTGTCTGGCTTGTGGGGGGAATGAAGGGCGAAATGGTCAAGCGAACTGAAATTTGAAAGCTTGCATTTTAAAATGAATGAAGAACCAGATGTTTGAGGTAGCAAATGATTAGAAATCAAAAGCACACTTTACCCCAATGCCTCATTATCTATGGGTAACGAGATAGAAGAAGCAGTGAATGGGGCCTGGTTTGCACCGTGAAATTAGTGCGCTCGTAGATAATCAAACACCGGTTACACCGGCCAACTGGCCGACTGGGCTTCCCCGCTGCTGTTCGAGAAATTAAAATCACGGTCTCTAATTGAATAATCACTGTTTTGAATTTCGCATAATGATGCGGTTAACTTTGGTTAAGTATTCTCTGCTGCTTCTGCTACTACTGTTGGTTGTGCTTCCCTTGCTTGAATCCGGATCAATCCGTCGCCGAACGGGTTGAAGTTCGCGGCACACGGAAGTGTTTTGAGCTAAATTTTGTCCCTAGGCATTCGTTTTCTGGTTTTCTCCACAAAATTTGATTTAACCTGTGATAATTTGTTTGCTGTTTTTTTTTTTTCGTTTAAGCGAGATTTCAATTTTCCTCCAATAAAGGTGTAGCTGTATTAACGATAATAGCTAATTAAATTGTTGTTGTTTTGCAGTGATTTTCAAGCATAAACTGTACAGTATTAGGTTGCTTACGGTCGGTTTTTTGGGGATACGATTCTAAAAACGAAAATCGATTTTTAAATAAATTACAAATAATTTACAGCTCACATAGTCCTTCTTTTCGAAAGCAGCTAAAAAATTAGTCACTTTTCCTCCGTTAAAGACGACGGTGGTTAGCAAAAATGATTTGTTTTAGTTTTAAGCTAGAATTATTGATATGTACACACACGATTAAAGTAGGCTTTCTGGCTTCGCTCGCCGTTCACTGGACTGGAGGGAAAAGCCGAACGAAATTTCACTGTCTAGGTTAGGTTAGTTGTTTGCTATTATAGTACAAAGATAAACAACATGCTTAGACACGTAAATAATCGAACTAAGTAAAAAAAACATCTTCAACAACTGAAGTTATGGCAATTCGAAGTAGGCTCTGGTTTTTCTACAATCAATACGACGGTACAAACGATGGTACGGTAAACAAAGGTCACGTGTTCAATGTGCCGTTGATAAGACGGTGATAAGAAGGGAAAGCAAAATCGGCATTTTGGCAAAATGGCGGATGGAAACGAAAGAGAGAAAATATGGCGCTGGTGTGTGAAGGTTGATTGACATTTCCAAACAAGCATTATGACGACCAAAATAATTGAAAACTTGAACTGAACTCTATGAAAAATCTACTCTCAACTGTCAAAACTAACATTTTACCGTTTTGTGTGTTTGCTATATTTTTTTGCTCTCTACAAACGCTCAGCTTGGTAATGTTCTGCTGCGTCCGTTTCTTATGTACCACTAAACGAGTAAATTAATTCTAATTACGTATAAAAGTTTCATGAAATGCACCTTTCAGAGTGTGTGTGTGTGTGTGAGTGTTAATTACTTCTTTTTCGCTCGATTCCGGTTCGTCCCATATCTTTTAAAAGTTATCATTCTTCATGTTTTCTCTCTCGCTGTTAGTCTGGGGCTCATCCACAATTTATGACACAATTTTATCGCCGAGCCATGAGACTAATCCGCTGTTGGTTTTGATTTATGGACTGATTTATTCAGCAGCCGGTCGGTTCAGTAACCTGAATTTTCGCTTTGTTTTTTTTTGGCAGTGAAATGTTTTTCGGGAGTTTGTGTGTGTGTGTGAATGATTCTCTCATTGCGTTAAAATTTACCTTGCTTATACAGTATTGTCATTTTTCTCTTAAATGCTTCATTTCGCTTGTGGAAAGATGGCTTCCGCTTGATAAAAAGAACGTACATACGTAGAATAGAGTCTGTTAGTTTTTGTTTTTGGTCACACAGTTGGAAACATCCACTGGAGGGTTGCTTCTATACATATTTTTTTTTGTTTCACTAGAACACATGATCAGTTCACAGTTAGAAAGTCTTCTACCACATACCGATTAAATATGACAGTTAATGTTAATTTTTTGCGATGTTAAAATGTTTGCAGAAAAATGCCTTTCGTTTTATGATGTTTTTGTTTTTGCGCTTCATTGTAATGTATAAAATTGTATGTCGATGGATCAGTTTTCTACGCGTTTGTTTTATTTTTTTATTTCTTGGACTAGAAAGAGAGCTGCTTCATCTTTTTCCTAAGTATAAGAGCTTAGAGTAGAAGATAGCTTGTTTGCGTTAGTGTAGGATGGTTTCAAGTGATTTGTAGTTGAAAAGTGATAGATGGATGGCGACAGGGAGGGAGCAGTGCGACTTTTGACCAGCACGACTTCATTTGACCTAACCTAGTTTGCTCTTTGTTAATGAATAGAGAATGAAATGTACACGCATTGCCTTAAGTGTCACTTTCATTCGCCTACTATGTACTCTCTATGACTACTACACAGTATGAAACAACGACATTTACATCACACATCATTTTGTTTCGCCTGACACAAGTGGTACAAAGTAAACACAGACTTCAATGACTTACTACGCCTACTACGGTGACTTCGATCTACATACATTTACAAACACACACGTACATATGACATGAGGATGTGTGGAGTTGTCCCTCCCCGGTTTATGCGCTTCCGGGTCACAGCTGATCGCTTGCGTTGCTAGGTATCCATCGTGCTGTCGTATCTGGTCGCACTGTCAACTATATTGGACCGTAGTCACTCAGGGCTTGTCCTGGTTGCGGTCCTGGCAGCGTTACGACGACCGACACGGCCCGGGGATCAACCACCGAGCCAGAGCCTGCAGTGAGTGTGGAAGCGCCGCCAATGTCTCCAGGTCATACGTGGCTCAGCGGGGTTTGCTTGAGGACATGGTGGTGCAGATGGTGATGACTAGTGGATGCCACGCTGCCGACTGTTTGCGTGTACGGAGTGGCAAGAAGGGACGCTGCCGCTGAACCGGGTATTCCGATTCCAGACGTTGCATATGGCTGAGGGAGTGGTGGCCGTGGCTTTATCAGAACCTGTCCGGCACCGGTTGGATCCGGCGAACCAAACAATCTTCTCCAGAGTCGTCGCCACGATTCCACCGTCTTGCCGGACCATATCCACACTCCGGACGTAATGCCCACTGCCAGTGCCATAAAGTACTTCAGCATAAGCACCGAATACAGAGGTTTCTGTCTGATTCCGGTTCCCACCTTGCAAGGACACGTCAACCCCGTCATCCAGTCCTCGGTGAAGTTTGCTTCGTACAAATGACATCCGATAACGATCGTAGCAGGGACCGTGTAAAGAACGCTAAAAATTCCTATCCGGATCATCAGCTTCTCCAACTTGTCAGCCTTCGATCCGGCACCGATACCACCTTGCTGTTTGATTACCGAACGAATCCTGAACAGTGACACAAACCCGGCCATCAAGAATGTCGTTCCTATCACCAAATATACAAACAGTGGTGCCAGTACAAAGTTCTTCAAATTTTCCACCGACGTATTTCCAACGTAGCAAATTCCGGCAATTGGATCACCATCTACCGCAGGCCTCAGCAGTACAGAAACGGTTTGAACCGTCGGTATCAGCCACGCCGCCAGATGGAAGTACTGCGAGTGCTTCGAGATGGCTTCATTACCCCACTTGAGTCCAGCAGCCAGGAACCAGGTGAACGACAAGATCACCCACCAAATGGACGAGGCCATTCCGAAGAAGTAGATCATGATGAAGATCATCGTACACGAGCTCTGCCCCATCGAGGGATATTTTATGGCTCTCCCATCGCAAGCGATTTCGTCGTGTCCGAGGAACAACCGTGTCAGATAGCCGCAGGACACGATGAAATAGCACGCCGACAGGAACACAATCGGACGCTCAGGATACTTGAACCTTTCGGTGTCGATGAGGAACGTGGTGAGTGTCATTAGTGTGCTTATGCCGCAAAGGCCGGACCATAGCGCGATCCACACCCCGGCGAAGTCCTTTTCCTCCTGGCTGAAGAACGCCCCCCGACACGGGATCGCGCAGTTTATTACGTCGCCGACCCTTTCGACACTTTGGTTGTGCAGTAGGTTTTCCTTCCCCAGGGTCACCAGTGGCTCCCGACACCGGCATATGCACTCTTTTGTTCTTTCCCCTGGGGGATTTTGGCAGTTTTTTGAATTCTTGCCCTTGCATTTGTTGTTCTGACCGGAGGCACCACCCGCGGACGAACCGTGGGATTTACGAGTCGGTTTAGAGTGCGAACCGCCGCCGCCGCCTCCTCCTCCACCCGAAGAATGACTGCCATCATCTTCGCTGGGTTGTTCCATGCACAGGTTATCGCTATCGCCTGAAACGGGCAAGTTCTCGCATGCCATCCGTTCCGGCCAACTGAAGCTGTACTGCTGCATAATCGGTGCACAGCCAGCACGTGCCCGTTCGCACACACTCCGACACACCGGAAGTGGCTTGTGGTAGTCTTCGATGCAGATGGGAGTGTACATCGAGCACAGGAAGAATTTAAGATCCGGCGAGCATTTGATCTCGACCAGCGGCCAGAACTGGTGCACCTCCAGTCCGGCTTCCTCCTGCGTTTCGTGGTTCATCTCGTTTGGAAACGAGGTTAGATTGTAGCCGATGCCTCGACACATCGGGATGGTGATTTCCTCGCAGCGCGAGTGAGGATCTTTCGGTATCGCTGGCAGGTGGGGTGCAGGGCTTGCTCCACCCCCACCATAGTAGCTCGAATCGGCTCTAGTACTGCACAGCAGCAGTAGCAGACACACCGTCAGCGAGCTGATTCTGGTTGTTCGTGTCATTCTGAATACGGCGTTGACTGATGAAAGAATGTGATTTCGAATCTAATTTTCTGGTCCGAAAATGAGACGAAATTGTTTGCTGGTAGCCTGCAGCCTGGGTGCAAAACTTCAATTAGATTATCTTCATCGTTGCGCTTCCTGCCCGTCTACTGCCATAGGGTTTGCAAACACTTTCCTCTTCGCTGTCAGTTGTTGTCGTCGTCGTAGCCGCCGGAGTGTCACATGTGCTCTTCGAACAGATATACGTGAAGGCTAGTCCTTTGATACGGCGACGGTTCGGGGGATGGGTTTCCAGGGGGTGTGAGCAAATTCAATTCAGAAAACTTGTTCTCCAAATCAGTTGATGCTGCAGCAGTGTGTGATGGCTTTTGACGGGTGTGCTCGGGTGAGCGAGAAAAGTAGCAATGACTGTGTAGTGTTGGAATCACACTCCCGGGGTTCTGCAAAATAACAGAGAAAGAGAAAAACGAGAAGGAAATGAATATAAATTAAATTATAATTAATATCATATGGCGGGGAGAGAATTTAAATTTAAAACGAAATTATGTTAGACATAAATGAGTGAAGTCAAGTGTGTACACACAGATCGGTTGGATGGCGATGGATTTCCTGTTTTGGACATGCAGCACCATTGAGCAAATTGTTTGCTAATGCGTTGGGGATTGCACTTTTACGACAGCCAAAATTGGCAATCTGGGTTTGACGTATTATTCCATATTCTATTGAATTGACATTTAATTGGAATGTTATCGAAAATTTAACTCGAATCATAATTTTGTCTAATGAGTTATTTTCTGAGTTCCATTCAAAATAAGGTTGAATTTCAATCTGGTACCTACACTGAACCAATATGACATATTCCTGTTATGTGGAAGTCTAATAAATTTGCGCTATAAGATAATCCAATGAAAATCATATGATTGAAAATGTGTCAGGTAAATTCTATATGAATATCTGATACATTTGCAATGCTGATTATTTGGTAACTTTTATTTGATCGGTCAAATTATAATTATTAACTGAAATGGATTTAAAACCCATAAGCATAAGTTTTACTTTTCACCACAACATAATAATATATGTGTCATAAATCAATCGAAGTAAAGTTTATGTGAAAATCACATGAAATTTACTTCTTCTTTTGACACATATATTTAATCGATTTCTAAAAATGAATCGAAAAATAAACATCAGGCAGTGGGGAGCTTTCACAGTTGTGTCTTTTTTTTTGTAGCTGGTTTAGGATTCCATCAAGAACTGTTGAGGTGTGATGCTTTCGGTGTCTGCGCTCGATTCCACTGGGCCACGGCTGACTTCAAGATTGAGCTCGTTCAATTAGCATGAAGTAAGAACAGAACAGAACAGCAGAATGTAGTGCAACGTTATGCTCGTTTTGCTAGAGTGAAGAAAAATAGCACTGACAAATTTATGCTCCGTTTCGGTATTGTCGTGTATATTTAAATCTTTCTTAATGCTCCTGTGTGCAATAAAACAATGACTACATTATATGAGTTCATGGAACTGGTTCATGAAGTTCGAGAACTAGTGCTGGAATCTGAATTAACCGTGCACACTAAGATTTTGTTTCCGTGTTCGGTAAATTTTACCAACATCAGAACAACTGAACATTCGGTAAAATGTTGACCCTCATTTTGAAGGCAATTGAATTTGAAAAAATAGTTTCAAAACATGTTCAACCTTGTTTAAATGTTCAAATCTTGTCATTTTAGTAGAGATTTACTTTCAAAGTAGCTTTTACCGAACAGTTCAGCTGTTCAGATTTCAGTAAAAATTACCGAAGTCGGCGATAATTTCTAAGTGTGTGTAGAAGGCTTATAATTAGAATCTTAGCAAAGTAAATATTGCAGTAGAATCATTTTTTTTTCAATCTCAATACATTCTTTTAAGGAACCCCTTATCTTATGGAACAATGATAAACAAGGATTATTCAATGCAGTATCATTGTTGTTAGCTATATTTAGTTCGACTCGAGGTTCGACTAATCATTTTAATGAGTGTACGATAACATCGTTGAAAATTGTTTCAATAATTTATGAAGAACAATCATGTAGGATGTATTTTATTGAAAGCGATATTCATACCAGAAACCAATGCCAAAACAAATGTTTGCTGTTGGATTTCTTAAAAGGCAAATCTATATGACTATGTAATGATTGGGATAGATCTGTTTACAAGCTTTAAACGTCAAAAATCAAAGGAAGCTATTACAATGAGATATACATGTTTTCCTATACTGCAAAGTTAAATAACTGTCCAATAGTTTCTACATGTCTGTTTTCACGCGACATATCAACAAACGTCAAAAATCGTTAAAAGCAACTCCAATAAAATAAACATAAATATCTTAAAAGCTATATCTTTTAGTGAGCAATATTCATCATGAAAACAGGTATATTTTATTGAATTTTCTCATAGTGCAAACTTATATGATTTTCTATTAGTTTCTAGATGTCTGTTCCCTCCCGTTATATATCACCAGTTTTCACCATGAAATATATCAGACAATATTCATATACATCTTATCTATCGCTAGCCACGCTCGAAGCAAAGTTTTATCAATTACTAAGTATGTGAAATTACGATAGAAATCATTCCATATCACAGTCATAGTTTTTAAGTGATAATCCAATGGAATCTATCAAACATCACATAGAATGAATAAATCTGCTGACATTGCTATGTTATAAGATGGATCCAATAAACGGTACATGTCGATTTGTTTCAGTGTACTGATTTAAATATTTATCTATAACACTCATGAAATTCTTTGCATAACGCACCAGAAACTTCATGGAACTCACCTTAAAATTCGCTTCAGATTCCTTATAAGAATACGTTGAAATTTTCCTCCCTCTAACGCCCATAAGGGAACCGTTAAAATAACCTACACACTTAGAAACAACTAATTTTACACGCGTCAGAATCCGTCTTTGACATAAAAGGTGAGACGTAAACAAACATGTCATGTAATATTAAGTGCTCCGAGACTAAAAACTTCGTTCCTCGACGAAAAGTACGATTGATTGAGCTATATTTCGCGTCTGTTATGACTCAAATTTATGTCAAAATTGACGCTCGTATATGTCACCCTCAGAGCACCTAAATTTACATGAATTTTTCAAAGTGTGTGCTTTCTATGTATAGGAACTTGTGTTTCTGTGGACTGGTTCAAACCCGAATTGGTCAAATGAACCGGTAAGTGCAATATTGTTTGTTATGCATACATTATGCTAATCTCGCGTAGCTCAATAAACCGATTTTTGTGTACCGGTTCATTTTACCGATTTACATCTGAACCGATAAAGTCTATTCTATATGTAATGTTTTTTATTATGCTTAACCCTCAAGCGCATATAAGGTAACCGTTAAAGTTACCTATTTTATATTTATGGAAGGTTGTTGGCAGGCAAGGAAAATCATTTACATTCATTTGGTGCATTCATTTACATTCTACTGCCTTTACCTTTATTCATCAACAGATTTCCGCAAAATAATTTAGAAAGTTTTTATTTTGCTTTTGTGAATAACTCAAATCTGTATCTCTTGTGCATTATGCAAAGACGAACCAGCCAACGGCTGAAAGTCTCTATAATAAAGAAATCAATCAATCAATCTTGTGCATTATGAATCATAACGAACAGAACCCACCATTGTTTTTCAGTGACTGTAAATTACATTCACTGAAAAACAATAGCAAGTTCTCTCCGCTCTAGAAGGTCATGCCTAAGAGACAAATATTTGAGTAATTCACAAAAAACGTAGGGTTGTAGCTTATATCAAAATCTACAAAAGCTTCAATCACCATTTAAAAAAAATTCTTTGATGAAAAAAGGTTAGAGGCAAATGAAAGTTAATGAATGCACACAATTAATGTAAATGATTTTCCATGCGGTTCATTTTACCGCAACCCAACCCAGAACAATTCCGGGGGTATTCCGACAATCACCGAGGTCCTGCCGTGGCCGGATGCGGGAAAAGTGGTATTTTTCAATATCTTGCGTTTCAATCATCAAGATTTTGATGAAAGATATTCGAATACAACTAAATACAGCCATGTGAGTCATGTTTGGGTAAACGGATCACTCCGGAATACCGAAACATGTTCCACCATTGTATCACTGCCTTTAGGCCAGGCCCAAGCGCAATGACAGTGCAAGCGAAGCGACAGTGGCAGTGAAAGAGCCCGATCTGAGTAAGCCTACTTGTCGAATTAAAACTACTTAAAACCAAATCGACTTCTGATAGGCATCTTTATGTAATTTTTGACAGCTGTCAAACTTGCCGTTTCCGGTCCACTGACGCCCACATTGCGTTTGGGCCTTAAGAAGTTAGTGGTATGACTCTAAGATTTTCGAGGCTAAAAAATCCAGTCCAAACCAATCCAAGACGAAATATCCATTTTCTAAGCATAAACAAAAAGCATCCCTCATAACCAATAACAAGAGTTTGCAAGAGCTTGCAAAAGCTTGTGGATGCTCGTGAAGGATGCAGAAAGGATACAAAGGGATTATTCGTATTGGAGTGGCTTGGACTGTTTTTGTAAGCTTTGAGTCATACCCCTATTTAAGACCGACCTATCCAGGAAATTCGGGAGAAATTCCCGGCGAACGTTTGAATTAGCTTCTAAAGGAAGCTGAAAAAACTTCGAGAGAAAGAAGAAAGAATCGCTTCTGGCGGAATTTTAAGAAAAATTCTAAGAAAAGTTGGAAAAATATCCGGGGAACTTCCAAGAAAAATAATAAGAAAATTCTAGGAAAAATTCAAAGAAACTTTCGAAAAAAATCGGATGACATATCCAGAAAGGTTTCGAAAATCGGAAGAAAATTCCAGGAGTGGCCGTTTCCAGGGAAAGCAAGAAGAAGCTTGGAAAAACCTCCGGAAGAAGCTTATGGAGAAATGGAAGACGAAATAAACTTCTGGGAGACTTCAATGATACTTCAGGTAGAATTTTAAAGGGAATTCTTGGAAAAGAAGGAATAAACTTCCTGGAGACGCTGAAAAAAACTACGTGAGGTAGTTACAAAGAGACTTCTAAAAAAAGTCAGAAGCTTCTTCCGGCGAAATCTTAACGGTTTTCGGAACAGTCTAAAGAAACTTCTAAGAGAAGTTGGGATAAAAATTCCGGAAGAAATGATTTTAGGGACATGTCGAAAGAAATTTGCTGTGAAAATCGGTAGAACCTTCAAGGGAAAGTTAGCCGCATATTCCGGGGGAAGTTGAAAAAAAAAAACTGGCGGGAGAAGACGGAAAAACCTTTCAAAGCGAAGCCAAAAGAAGCTCCCGAGGTAAATCAAAATAACTTAGCGGGAGGAATTGGAAAACAACTTACGGACTAATTTGGGTGGAAATTCCAGGGGAAAGTTTTAAGAAACTTAAGGAAAGATTAAATTAACTTCAGAAAGTAAAAAAAAAAAAACAT